TCTGCTGCAGGCAGCGGTAGGGGAAATGGGGTTTAAAGCTTACAGGAAGGGAAACGGCAAAAGATTTCGCCGAATGGACAGACCAAACCCTGACAGAGGCTTGTGATGCAGCGGGGCCACGAATAGAAAAGGGGAATCCGAGTGGGGTATATTGGTGGAACGAGGCGATCGCCAGGACTAGGAGCGAATGTACCAAACCGTCGAAGGTATACGCGAGCGAGAAATAGGAGAACAGCAGAAGAAACCGAGATGGCCTGGTATGACCTAAGAGAGGCACGAAGGACACTCAAGAAGGAGATTAGGAGAGCGAAGATCCGCGCTTGGAAAGAGCTCCTAAACGTCCTGAACGTGAGTCTTTGTAGGTGCGCATACAAATTGGTGCTGCAAAAACTCAGGCCGTCGGTACCCTCCGTATGCGAAACCTTGCCGGTCAGAGATGTGGAGAAAATAATGGCCTTTTTCCTCTCACATCAGACAGCTGCGGAAGAAGACGAGAGAGACCGGAACGGAAACTGGGAGGAAGAGGAGTCCGAAGAGGAAATTGTAGCTTGCATTAAAAAGAAGCGATCTAGTAGCAAAACCCGGGGCCGGACGGAGTGTATGACCGAGTGATCGCGCTGACTGCAGAAACCCTCAAGGAAGTCTGGAGAGAGTTTCACCAGATGACTAAAAGAAGGCTACTTTCCTAAAAAGTGGAAAGTGGCGAGGCTAATGCTGATAAAAAAGAAAGATAAGCCGGATGGACACTCTTCCTTGTACAGGCCCATCTACCTGCTCGGATCGAACGGAAAGATGCTAGAAAGAATTCTAATGCGCAGGATGGAGCGGCACTTAGAGGAGACCAAGGGTCTCTCCCCCTTGCAATACAGATTTAGGAGGGGAAGATCGACGGTGGACGCGATGCTTTAAGACGATAGTGGAGACGGCAACGGATAACGGGAGAGTGGCGATAGCGACCTCTGTGAAGTTGGCACCCCATTGTCAAAATTTCGAAAAAATAATTAGAGTTCCGGTTCTTCCTCAAAGAGTTCTAGAGTTCCTAATAAATTACACAAAGAGTTCTGACGATTAAATGCAAAAAAAAATTTAAAGATATGGGGTGCCAGCTTCACGTTTTCACGATACGAAAATTAG